AACACACATGCACTCACATGCACATTCACATACTTAGTTTAGCAATTACAGGGCTTACTTGGGACATTATTCGTGCGAAATGTAAATTTGTACACGAAGAAAAGAATTTAAAGGAAACAAGGTTTTCGATCACATTATTCGGGAGACCGATTCTCTTTAACTAGTGCAGGTTGTTGTAGTCTCTGACTAGATCACACTCTGTTCAGCCCAGTACTGGATAAAATTAAAGGAACTTTAATGAAAAGCTTCCGGTACTGTTTATTTTAAAGAAAAGCCATATTTTTACACTAAAAAGTCAATTTTGGTATTATTCACTTTACATTTTATTTTATTCTTATCATTAAAATTCAAAATTTTCAAGCTCTTTTTTTATTAATTTTTCTTAAAATTATCAAACCTTGTCCAAAATTTTTCTTTATTTTATAGCATGAATCCTTTTAGTTTTACGAACCTCCTCGAGATATTCCCCCTGATGCGTTTTACTTTTACACTTGTACTGATTAATTTGCAAAGCAGAATAGGTTGGCCTTCTATTATTACCTCTCATGTGGATCCTATGTGGCGCAGCGTTTTCTATGGAGCCGACGGACAGCAAAGCACACGTGTACCTGCCCACCCACACGTGCAATCCCGGTCAAACTTACCCTGTCTTTACTGGATCTAGTCAACGGTCAAATCCCTCCTCACCCCTCCAATTTTTTTAATATCCCAACCGTGCCCCTCACGACTTCCTCTCACCTTCTTGATCGGCCGTGCGGGTGCCCCTACACGCACAAACACTCCCTAGCCGTTCGATGCTGCACGTGCGACCGATGCCGTCAAAGATGGTTTTGAAAATTTATGGTGGGTCCCACGTGTCCGGTTCTCTGACCTGCTGAGTTGGTCACCATGTGTTAAACTGTTGGACGAATCGTTGCTTAATTCGGTTTTTCCGTTAATCGATGTTTCTGTCGGGGCTGCACGTGCGTCGCACGTACGATATACAAATATCATAATGCTGAAGTGCTATAATACAACGGAATTAACGAATATACCCATACTTAGTTTAATTGGAGGTGTGGTCTACGTGCATAAATAAAGGGTACTATTGGAAACTTGAAAAGTGGGTATGATTTTATAAAGGATTGTGTTTGGGAAAAGCATGTTTTGTTGGTGGGGATTTATGTATAATTATTGGGAATGACAGAGGATATTAGGCTATTATAGTTTTAAGTTTTAATTTTACTTTATTTTAGTTTTGGTACAAGATTGAGTTGAGACTAATTATTCTTTTGATGAAATATAACTCGGAGGAAGATTCTCCTTTTTTTTCTAATCTCTTTCATTTTCTCTCCTCTTATTTAAACAATAATGATTAAATTACGACAACATTTATATTAATTTTTTTTTTATAGAAAAAAAAGGACAAAAAAAAAAATTATGAGAACAAAGAAGAAAAAGAGATGAACATAAAAAGAAAAAGAATCTTACTCCGAATAATTGGCTCTCCAACTCAATCACGTCATTCCTTCAAATGATGAAAGTGTTCAATTATTAATTATTAAAGGGATTTGATTTAGTGAAAAAAAAATGGTAAAATGATTAGGGCATGAGAGCAACCAAGTTGAATAAACAAATGGAATCTCCCCTTTTTATAAATTCTAGGGTTCCTTCATCATTGTGTTGCTAAGACGTCGAGTTAATCAGCTTTAATCTCAGCATAAACATGGCCTACTTGCATTATTAATTATAAATAATAACTAGTTAATCAATCTTAAGCTGGCAATAAGAAAAAGTAGCATAATTCATTTAATCTTGATCACGAAGGCTCCTACTGGTTGCGTTGCATGCATCGCATCAGGTTTAGTGGAGCCATGCATGGACTGCAGGTCGCCTTGATTCCTTTGCACTATTTGAGCAAGCTTACATCATTCCTTGATTTACACAAGTTGTACATCGTTCATTATTCTTATATGCTTTGCTTATGGTCCTCTCACGCATAAAGATTTGACCCCGTTGCTAAATTTATCATTCATGTTAATCAAAGAATCAAATAAGTAGTGGAGGATCCAAAATTTTAAGATTGGGAGGTCCCAAAAATAAAGACCGAAAGATTTGAAAACAAAAGTAACATTGAAAAGTTGATGATAATACATTCATTCATCATCATACTCAAAAAAACAGTACAATCTACAAATCGTAATCAAGTCCTCCACGATTAGGTTTCATAGTCTGAAAATGCTCCATCATAGATTCATTACCAATATAAGAAAAATATTTTTCTCAATGTAAACAACTAAACTATCACTCAACAACTGATCTCCCATTTTATTATAACGGAGGACGACGATCGCAGTCCTATAGAAAAAAAGGATTGGGGTCACTGGAAAAGAGAGGGGATTCAGTGTTCGATGTGGGAGAAGAAGAATGGTTGGTTTGCAGAATAAGGATGTTTGGTTGTGTGGTTAGAAACTTAAAAATGGACATGTGTCTTTATTTTATTGGGGTATTATCCAAAGCATGCATTCTCTTTTTTGTAAAACGCGCTTCAATTAGAGAAAATGGTTTGCTATTTTGCTAATGAACTACGATTTTGTTGAAGACCCAAATGAACTGGCCTGGAGTTGTGTATATTTGGGCCTCGCTTGTGAAATATTGGTTTGGTGAGGAAGATTGCTAATTTCGTGCAAATAGAGCCCAAATTAACTATTAAACTATAAGGACTAATTAGATTATAGTCTCCGTGGTGATAGAGTAGTTGGAAAATAGCTTTTGTGGTTAAAAAAAAAAAAATTAGGATTTAAATTTCTGTGGTGAAGTCTGTTAGAATTTAGGCTCAAAATTGAAAATTCCGTTAACTTCCCGTTAATTATTAGCATATGAGCCACACATATTAGGCTAAAACATACCTCTCCGTTAATTGTTAGCACGTGGGGTTATATGTGAGGCTAACTTTGTATTTTTAGTTCACATATGAGTCTCATGTGTTAATAATTAACGGAGATTGACGAAATTTTTAATTTTTTACCTAAATTTTAACAGACTTCACCAAATGAACTTAAATCCTGATTTTTTTTTAATCACATGAATTAACTTCTAACTATCCTATTACCGCGGGAGTAGTAATGTATATGGGCAGTTGGGCTTCATCCACACAGGGTTTGGCCCGATATCGAGTTGGAGCCGGTTGAAATGTTTGACCACTTAGTCCAAAGCAGAGCTAAGGTGTTAGCTGAGGTGACTTTTTATTTAGGTCCTGCTTAAATATTAGGATTATGGTTAAGTTTGAATTGGCTTTTAGAAAGAAAAAGAACAAAAAGAAAAGAAACCCTAAAGTCGTTCATTAGACTTTTTCAATATTTATTTTGGATTGACATGGTAAGCATGCCGAGGCAAGTACAAATCAAGGAATTATTTCACATGCACTCTTTTTTTTTTACAAGTGAGACCGGAGAAGAGGAGAATCGAGCATGTGAGCTTTTTATGTATAGTGATATTTTTAACGAACTAAGCTTTAAATCTATTGTGTTAAGAAGGCACTTGAGATATCGAAACCACATTTGAAAAGAAAAAAAAAAAGAGTAAACATCTACCAAGAATTAGTTAACACAAACTTTATACGCAGTGAGATGTGTTATCTATCTATAATGAACAAAACGGAATCGATTTGATGAGTCAAAATCCATACATTTATTGAAGATGTTTACTAAATTATCTATATTTTTAAAATGAGTGATATTAGTTCTCAATAAGCTATTTACTAATCCACATTAGTTGAAATAAAAAATAATTTGATTACTAAAACTTCCTTGTTCAAAATAAGTTCTTTAACATAAAACTTGTTAAAATGAATGAGCAAACTTCAAAATTCAAAATTTAGAAACCTTTTTGGATTATTTTGGGTAAAAAGAAACTAACTACCACTTTGTTAGAGTGGAAATGGAGTTTTGTTTGGAGGTTTAAAAGAAGATTAAATTCCAATCCTTGGTGTCCCAGATGTCCTTCAAGTTCTTAGGAGTGTCAAATAATGGGACAATGTATCATTTATTCAAATTTGAGGCCACTTAGAACATTTTCAATGGAAGTTCCTATTTCGGGACTCCCACCACCACCATCGAATACTCATTTAAAGACTTAAAAGGAAATTTTTGTGCTCCTAGTGGAATATTGCTTTCAATAGAACATTTCTTATAGTAGAATTCCTAAATTTGAAGTTTTTATGATTTTATGTGATAATCTGATTAGGTGCATATTTTTTGTTTTTTTTTAATTAATTAAAAGTATTAAAAGCTTCAATTAAGATCGTGGGTCCTATTTTCCACTCAAAGTTGTGTCCCTATATATGAGTACATACGCTATGTTTCGATGAGTCCATATACTTTAGGCACTCACTCTCCGATCCATTAGAGATTCATTTTGTCTTTGTACTCATTTTATACAGTGATTGTCCCTTGAGAAACTCCACTAGAGATGCTCCTAGACCTCGTTTACTTTTAATATGACTCGGACATGTATACATACACATCACCTGTTGAATATAAAAAAGGTAATGCCAAAGAAACCAACTATTTAAACCATATTTGTAAATCATATATCGTAATTGATGATGATTAGATTATTACTTAAATCTTGATTAACGTTTTTATTTTTTATTAATGATCACAATGATTTGCAAATTTGGTCTAAAAAATTGATCTACCTAACTTGACTCAAATAAAAATTCGACGCCTCTCCTCCAACATGCTTACAACCACAGCACCTCATACTATCATCATGCATCCTTTTGTCCCTTTCAAGTTGGTATCACCACATTACAGGCACAGCAATTGATAAGCAAGCAACCAACCTTTTTCCTCTATTGGGCCACAAATAACCAAGAGAAACTCAGAATGTAGCAACCAGGAACTCAATGTTCCTATTTTTGTCTCAAAAATGAATAGAAGAAAATACCGAATAAACGAAATCACTCTCTTTGTATGCAAATCACGGTTTAACACATATATAAAAAACGGGTCGAAAAGGAAAAGGAAATAAAAGATCAAGTTACCCAAGATCATAAAATTTCGAGATCTATTATCTTCATCAGAGAACAAGTCCTGTTATTCCAGAACAGAGTTCAAGCTGACAATTCACACATTAAGCAACAAGGTTCTTAAAATACTGCAAAATCTTGCTACCTGATTAACTTTTCGATCATATTACCTTTGAAACGAAGGCAATTACATACTGGCACAGAAATATGAACACTTAATCAATTTTAACAATCAACAAACACCCTGTGAGGCTGCAGCCACAAAGAACAACAGCAAAGTAAAACATTTGATTCCGAAGGTTTGGAATTGTTATGATGTGAAACCTGTCACACTCTGCAGAATAATTTGTACCAGTTTATTGACACTTGAAGAAGCAGCTAAAGCTGACTTCCATCCTGATTGTGAAGCACAAAATAAATGTCAAATACTTTGTATTCATAGAAGTAGCATTAATACCAAACGGTCGCTAATCAGATCATAAATTGTAGTAGGAATAGCATATCAAATGTCAGGCAGAAATAAGCTTGATTAATCAATGACAGAAAACAAGTTAAATAAAACACAAGTGTCTCTTCCGCTCAGATATCGGTTTTAATGACACTCTTTGTGACAGAAACTTTAAGAACGAATTGAAAATAGCACAAGGAATGGTAATACAATGCCTTTGTAGCATGAGAATAAAACTAGGCAAAAAAGCCAGGCTACACAAAACTTCTGTTTCATACCACTATCAGATTAAAGGCAAAGTTATTCTGTCGTACCATTGAGCCAAGGGCCTGTTTAAACACCGTTTTCATGTGCAACCAATCAAGTTCCCTACTTCATCTCTCAGATAACGCCAAATGCCAATGCCAAGGTTCAATCCAGCAAGTACAAATGGAATTTGGGAGCCAACAAAAGAGGGGGAGAGGAAGAAAAAGGGAGGGAGGGATGGGTGGTTCGCGCGCGCGCGCGCAGTGTGGGGGGGGGGGGGGGTGGGTGGTGGCGCGGTGGGGATTGGTAAGAAAGGAAGCAGAAATCACGCACACCAGAGATTTAACATCACACACAAATCAGGAGTACAATGATTAGCATTAACTAATTAATCTGACGTGGAGATACTAAAAAAGATCCTAACCTTGAAGCACAACAAGATAATTAAACTCATTCATGCCATTAAAGAAGGAATCAGAAGAATCAAATTTCCTACACAAGCATAAAACACATTAATTTCCCACATGCCTGAACACTAATTGTGCAAACCTATATGTATAACCTATTTACTTGCCTTAATGCAAAACTTACAAAGGGTACGGGCATCGGTATGTAAAAACATGAAACGAAAATTCAAAGACGAAACATGCAGATGTCTTAACATTCAACGTCAAAAAAGGTTCGCCTTGTCGGAGCTTTTCCAGAACAAGGAAGGATGCAGTCACTAAACCCCGTATTGAAATAGGGTTTGCACAACAATGCAAAACTCTGCTCCCCAACGATGTAGGGAAGCCAGTTAAATGTTATAAATAATAAAACTATCAGAATCATTCAAAAAATAAACGAAAGCACAACGAATCTCCCACAAGCCTAATCGCTGAATACCATTAACAAGAGAAAGTTGTGAAATTGACGCTATATCATGCACATATATATAAACTCCATATACATATTAGACCTACTTCCATGTAAAGCAACTAGATTTACCCTGCATCCTGCCCCCTAATGAGCAATACAATAAGGCTGAAAAAGACTAAACTAAACTAAACATAAAGAAAGGGAAATTAGATATCCTTTCTCTTTTTATCCTCTTATGTATTTTTGTTCAGCCTTGTATAGGGTAAATTCTAACTCTTCTTCTGTAAAAATTGAGCACATTATACCTCAAAAAATTGAGGCTTCCACTCCACAGGTGCAGCAGCAACTTCCATTTACGCAGTTTTGAGAAAATCACAATCTTCAGGTCACCATACAAATCTACCTCTGCAACAAAAACCCAATCATCCATTAGCACCAGAAACCCCACAAAACATGAATTCGCAGAAACTCACACATAAAAAAATATACGCCTTACATGGAGAATGTGCAGACTTATAAGCATCCGCAGTGATACCAACCAACCACAACCCAGGAAAAATACTCTGCAAATTCATTCAACCCAGAAATAAATTACATAAAAAAAAAAAAAAAATCATATTAAAACCAACCAAAAGGGGAGAGAGCAAAGTGGACGTACATCGAGTTGTTTCTGAACATTCTTGGGCCGCTTCTTGGGCCTTCTGGAGGGCCTCGACCCGGTCATCACGAACACGTCCTCTTCAATCTCCTCCTTCGACAAAGCGATCCAGAACTTGCTCTTCACCTTCTTCTTCTTCTCCACACTCTGCCCCTCCGCCAGACCCCTCAACCTCATCGACTTCGGCTGCTGCTGCTGCATCATTTCGCTCTGACTCCGGTTTGGCCCCTCTGGTTCCTGCGCTTCCCGGTTTGCGGTAGCCGCAGCGTTAGGGCCACTCGCCTTTTGAAAGGACGCCGTCGCCGGAGGTCTTCTGGGCCTCAAATTCCAGGGCTTCTGAAGTAGCACCTCAGCTTCCTCCTCCTCTTGATCGCTCTCCCGCTCCTCGCTCCTGCGACGCTTGTTTTCCGAGCACGGGATCACCGATAATCGGCGGCGATCGGCGCGGGAGGACCCGACGTGGTTGTATCGGTCTGATTCGGAGTTTGGCTCGGAGGCGGGTCGGCGGTAGCGGTTGTGGTTGTTGGCAGTGGCGTTCTTAGTCCCCCATTTCAAGAATGTGAGTGGGAAGTTGTGCAGCGGCGGCTTCTCTGGCGCTGTCGCCATTATTCCTGATCAACACGCAGAGCTCAAGCGTTCAGAGTTTCAAGCCCACCAGGCGGCTATACATACAAAACAACCTATATATAATATATATCAATCTATCTATCTATCAATCTTGTATGCTAGTGCTTCACGTTTTTAGAGAGAGAAAGTGGAGGAGGAGAGAGGGAGCGATAGGGGGAGAGAGAGAGAGTAGGTTGTGTGTGATGACAGGGAAAGGAGGAGACGGGGGAGGCTTACCTTGCTTATTAATTTATACGAGTACATATACAGTACGGAGACCGGAGAGCCAGGGCTGCGGTTTTTTCCTAAATGAATTTTAATGAATGCTTTATTATTTTAATGAAAAATTATATTTTTATACTAAAAATTTTAATTATAGTATTATTCATTTTATTTTTTATTTTATCTTTATCTTTAAAACTTAAGGTTTTTAAGTCATTTTCATTAATTTTTATTTTTTATAACCGTCTTCCGTGTACAACTTTACGTCGTTACGGTTTTGGATTTACTATTTTGGCTTTGCTTTTTAATTTATTTCTTTTGTTTTCGATTCATTTTTGGCTAACCACAGTAATATGATTCAAATTCATTTTTAGTAAGAATTGAACTCTCACTTACAAATGAAAAAAATACCACTAACTTAAGGCGAATTCATCTAGGGCAAGGAGGCAAGGAGGCATACGGTAGTATGGTTGACTCAATAAAAGGGTAGAGGAATTTAAAAGATTTGTAATCCTTGCAAACTAGGATCAATCATACAACAAAGGATAGTGCTATTCACACTCACATTTATTTTTCACACATTTTTGTTAATTTTTGTCAATTGATTCGACGGTTGAAAATTAAAAAGAATATGAGAAAAGTAAAAATATGTTTGTGAATAACACTACTCAAGAACAAATATTACATTAGGCCTAATATAAAAAGAGACAAACACCCCCTGATAAATTGAGGGAAAGCCAAAAAGCTTATTCAATAAAATAAAATAATCAAACAGGAGATCTTAATCCCCTGAACTAAAGAAAACTAATGAAAATAGTTTGAAAATTTTGAGTTTTAACAATAAGGACAAAATAAAGGGTAAAGTGAATAGTAGCAAGATTGACTTTTTAGTGTAAAAATGTGATTTTTAATTAAAATGAACAGTATTGAAAATTTTTCTTTAAAGTTCCTCTGAAATAAAGCCCTCAGCCACCACACGTCTCTCACTAATGTCCACCAAAGCAAACACCATGAAGAAACCAAGTCGAATGAGGATCTGCAGAGAGCAACGCAATGTAATCAAACCAACCCAAAAACAAAAGGTACACTTGCACTTTTAGCGCCACGAATCCCTTGAGTTGCATAGCCTATAGCACAACGTAATTGAGTTTCGTGTGGACATGAAAATCGCTAACTTGTCAAAGCAGATGTGTCCAGTTATGTGAAAATTCGTGGGTAGCAGTTCATGAAACATACTGCAATTATGCTTCTCTCGATAAAAAAGCTCGAGTCCCACTGATTTTGCTAAGAGCCGTAATCCTTTAGTTAGTTAAGTCCTGATAAAGACGATGGTGGCTAATTCTGGGCAAATGCCATCGCAAATTGTCGTGTGTCCAATTCCACTAGGCAGCCGAATCCATCCGAGCAGTTACCCTTTTAGAGAAGAGCATACTCAGATGGATGTCCAGGAATTAGTTTATCCTCTCATACTGAGAAGTGTAGAAAGATGTATTTATAAGAGCTAGGGTTAACCGTGGGTGAAGAATCTTGCCCCATGTGTCGACATCCAATTTGCTAAAGTGTGTAATTCGTTGGATAAAGTAGAAAATTATCCCAAAGATATAAATTAATAATATTTTAGAAGTATCTATTGGATTTGATCGTGATTCCTTACTCGAAAGAATTAGTCTTTAATGAGGAAAGCTTAAAGATAGGGATTAGTTTTTTTTTTTTTTTTTTTGAGTACTTCGATATGTTTACAGTAAGGGGATGAGGAGCTCAGTAAAGCCACACAATGGGCAGCTTAATTTGGTGTCGAATTCGCTATCCACAAGATTCAAATCTAAGACATCTCACTTCTAAGTGAAGATGAATATCATCAGACTGTAGTATTGAGTAGCAGATAGGGATTAGTTATTGTTCATATCATTAACTCTCTTGCCTTATCTCCTTGTCAGGGCAACGGAGCTTGACAAGGTTGTAGTAGCAGTTCAGGTCTTCTTGGTAGTTGAATTGCACGTGCAACGAATGTAGGTCTGGCCAATTTTATAGGGGGCATTCCAGTCTCTTGTATGTAGAAGTTCACATGTTAACTCCAAAATTTTCTGAATTATTTTTGGCTTCACATGACGACTAGAAAAAGTAAAAAGTATGAGGCATACACAACAAAGTCAAATGAGACACAAAATTCGATTTTCAGTGAGGAATAAAATAATAAAAAAATGATTAATAGATTTACAATCCTAGCCCCTAGCCATTCACTACCGGAACCAAAACAATGTTGGCAGGCTATATCATCATTTTGAGGGGCTAAATTTTGCTCAATCTGCTAGATATGCTCTTATATCACATTGTTGACCCTAAAAATTACAAAGCCTACGTGGCGCGCAGGCCGAATAACAAATAAGCTAACTAAGTCTTTCGGTTGAATACGGGGCATGCCAACTCGTCGGCCGAGCTCGGCCGAGGAGTAAAATTTGTTGATGTTGCGTTGAGCGCGTTGTTGACTTTTTTATCTTCCGACTATGGCCGAGGAAGGAACACTCTCGGTCTTTGGGTTCTAGAGCCTGAAGACGAGGCTGCTAGTTCTGCGAAGTTCACATGTTGTCGGTGCCTGATTCAGTCACCATGATTATATTCGTAAGAGTATAAGCACATCGAATCGACACCAGACTATACAGACACAAATATTCAAAGGTGATGTATGTCTTGATGGTGAACGTGGTTTGGCCGTCAGAATGCCGAATTCTAAAACTCACTTGTGAATATCCAATCATAAAATCACTCGGTGTCCGATACGCCGAATGTCGTAACTCGTAACACCTTACTTCGTTGAGACGGCTGATAAGATGACCCCTGCTAATAAGGATTCGAAAACCCTTCTCGCCCAAGACTTGGATAGCTAACCAGTCGGCCTCGACGCAGTGCTGTTTATCTAAACTGAAGATGCTCATCGATCGGCTGATTCTACGGCAACAGTGCTGTTTATCCAAACTGAAGATGTTCGCCGGTTGCCTCCACAGTGCTGTTTATCCAAACTGAAGGTATGTTGGCGGAAAAAGAAAAGGAAAAATCTCAAGGTATTTGAGAGGTTTTGTGCAGGGCAATTATATGTTGAATTGAAGGTCCTTCCTTGTTACATGATTTCTTGTATTTATAGCACCAACTCCTTGGGACCAAATTAAACCCCTATCTGAATTGGGAGTCCTTACCTCGTTCTAACTTTGCTTCGAACAATCCTACTCCCATCAGGACTTTGAACTCACCCCTCTTCGGGGCTTTATTCATCGCTAGCTCGAGAATCCTAGTTGTACCAGGATTTCCTCGGCCCTTCTTGCTTATCTGGACTATTCCTTCTTGTGATAGGACTCGACTATCCCTGCTAAACGGCCCGGAATCAATCAGGCAACCCATAGTATTTGACACTGCTTTGGGCCGAGCACAACCTTACACTCGGCCCAACAATATTATTTTGGGCCCAAACATTGCCCCCTCGCTTCTGAGGTCACCGACTATCAACCCTTGGTCGGATTTCAACCTTGAAGAAGCAGAAACATCTTTTGCTCTGTAAACTTAACTGCTCTTGATAACCATTACTATGCACATTTATGGGACATGATTGCACTATCTTCGCTATTCCCAACGTATAGCCACGTGTCGACCCTCTGCCAATCCTAACAACTTTCAATCATGGCATTCGAAAACGTGCACCCGCCGAAGTGTCTCTTCCTCATTAATGCATCAAAACCACCGCCGCACGCAATCGTGCGTCCTAGATCCTTGAAAACCTCGATCCTATCCTTGTAGGTTCCCAAAATATCTGAAATGATTGGGGCTATTTCCCGGCTAAATTTCCCCAATTCAAACTCTAGTGCTTTCGAATGCCAAACGTTTGATCTTCCTTTTGAAACGCCTATAAATACCCAAATCTCTTTCATTCGTATCCTACGCTTTTAGAGATTTTGAAATCTTCCTTTCGCCATTCCTGCTCGCTCAAATCACACACCCTCAAGCTCATCTCTCATAAACCCCATTTTTAACCTACACAACCCTTTTATTCTTTACCAATGGCCTCCTTTATCTCCAAGCTTTCCGACGAATGTAACAAATACAAGGATTTCATCGACCGGAGCGCCATCAAAACGCTACGCTTCGAAAATGACCTAGCTACCACTCACCAAATTCTGGGTCCATTATTCAAAGACGCAGTGTCGTCGTGCATCACCAATCTCCTCAAGGAACAGTGCTTAACACCCTTGCTGCAGGGGTTTGATTAGTCGAAATAGTGTTTGGCACGGCCCCAAGAAGCTTGGCCCTCGATCACTGCAGCCTGGGCCACCTGGGTCGATAGAATGGGAGCATTCTTCGGCAAAGAATGGAAAGCTCTCGGCATTCATGACGTCATCATGCTCTTGACCATGGAGATCACCATGAATAAAGAACTGCTCATGGCGGCCTTGAGTTTATGGTGCTCGGCTACCAACACCATGATCCTTCCTTTCGGCCCTCTCGGCCCCACCGTCCTTGATATCTCAGCTATCCTTGGGACCTCCTCGTCTAGTCTCCCAATTAATGCTGCCATTTCCGGATGCCCCTTGCATCTCGACCTAAAAGCGTTGTTCGACGAACGGGCCGTTGAGACACTCAGCCGAGGCGATCGGGAGCCTTCGAAAAAAGAGGTTCAGAAGCTACACAAGAACTTTTTCAACTACAACACTCTTATCCTCCACTTCGCTGGCCGAGGCAATGAGAGTCTTATGAAGGAAGAACATGAAGCCTTCCTATTCTACTGGTACAAAAAATTCATTTGTTGTACCAGGTCAAACAAATGTTTGGTTGAGAATATGCCGGTGGCTCAAGCCCTGGCTAGCGGTCACTCCTTGGCGCTCAGTCCGGCTATCCTTGCCAATCTCTTCCATTGTTTGGCCGAGACGACCATTAACAAAATCGACCCGCACCAGAACGGACCCTTCTGGGTATTCCAACTCTGGTTGCAGGTTTACTTCTCCACACTTCGGCCCGAAAGTCCC